CACACTTGTCAAGAGAAAGAGATAAATGTAGACAGGAAACCTACATGTATTTCATTTGAGTTAATCCCATTTGGTAAAGTCGTCAAAAAAAAAAATGATCTGACTTTACCAGAAGTGTTAGATTTACGAGCAGGCTTGTCAAGAAGAAACCTTTCCCTAGTAACTGAAATTAAGATTTGGAACAAGAAAATGACAAATGAATCAAGATTGTAGACTCTTGTATAAGGACCAGAAGAAAGTGGAACAAACTTGACTAAAGTTTAAGGGACTGAAGCCCACTCCTTTCTCTATCATGCAATTTTATGGAAAAAGTGGAAATTCCAAGAATAATTGGCATTATCAAATTTAAAGATATTTTGAACGAATGGGAGGATTACCAATAAAAACAAAAAATAAAAAAGCCAATATAGATGAGAGAATGCTTCAGAAAGGGAACTTTCCCATCCAAGTATCCACCCAAAATTTTATTTTCTGTTACTATTCATATCATATATGTATTAAACTTAATTACAAATTGTTGGCCAACAACTTAATTACAAATTAAAACGGGGGTTAAAGGGATGGAACTTTTTTGCGAGAGGTGACTGGTATCCGAAACATTTTTTTTGGAGCAATGCTACCCTAGAACTTTCAAAAAGAGTGTAATTTTGCCCTACCATTAGTATTTTGACCGTTAATTTGACTTCAATTCCATGTTGGCAGCCATGTGGCATTTAAAAAAAAAAAAAATTCCCAATTCCACCACCATTTCACTCTTGGAGATGTGGGAGTCAAGCAGTCAAAGGAGTAACAAATGAAGCAGATGATGCTGTCAACGACTCCAATATAGAGAGAGAATGTTCAAAAAGGGAACTTTCCCATCCAGTACAAAAAATTTTCTGTTACACTTTCAATCATATATGATTAAACTTAATTACAAATTGTTGCCACAACTTAATTACAAATTAAAACGGGTTACAAGGGATGGAACTTTTTTGCGAGAGGTGCCTGGTATCCGAAACATTTTGTTTGGAGCAATGCTACCCTAGAACTTTCAAAAAGAGTGTAATTTTGCCCTACCATTAGTATTTTGACCGTTAATTTGACTTCAATTCCATGTTGGCAGCCATGTGGCATTTAAAAAAAAAAATTCCCAATTCCACCACCATTTCACTCTTGGAGATGTGGGAGTCAAGCAGTCAAAGGAGTAACAAATGAAGCAGATGATGCTGTCAACGACTCCATTGTGGATCATAGTGCTGAGAAGAAACAGATTTCGGTGAGTCAAAAGGACGTGGAAATGCTTTGCAGCTCAGCCCAGTACAAAGAAACCTGGAAGCACAGCCTTTCAAAAGCAAGCAACACCACTGACGTTAACGAACTCATCAAAACAGCCTTCCACACTGCTGCCACCAAGGCGTCTGCACCTTAATAAATTTTGGCTTAAAGACTCTGAAGTGACCAAGAGCACATACTTGTTCTTTTGAGTCTGATAATGTTGAGCGAAATGAGGCAAGCACTGCAGCCTATGCCCATGAGGTTGTAAACCTTAATATCGAGTGAAACGAGGCTAGTGCTACAGCTTGGCTGACCTGGCAAGATGTTTGGCAATGCTGTTTGGAAGAACTCCTCCATCTCCAAGATGCTGTCGTTGAGGGTGGGAGAGGCTTCATCACTAGAGAAGACATTTCTCATGGCGTAGGTTTGCTCGCCGATGCCAAAGCTGACGATGGCTTTGAGGAGGAACTTGTACTCGCTGAGGTCGAGGTTTTTGGTTTGCTTGATAACCCTCCTGCAAAACTCGGTCTCGCTTTCGATTGTCGGTGGGTTTGTAGCATTGGAAGTCAAGGGTATAGCATTCTTGGTCTTTTTGGTGGTCAAAGAATTTCCAGATCAAGAAGCAGGAGTAGGATGCCAGAGCAATGTAGAGTACAGTGAGATCATCTATGAAGAAGAGAGAGCAGAAGAAATAATGCTTAGGTGGAATTTTTTTTTTTAATGCCACGTGACTACAAACCTAGTAGTAAAGTCAAACTAATGGTCAATATTGATGGCAAGGCAAAATTACACTCTTTTGGAAAGTTTTGGAACAACATTACTCCAAAAAATATTAGGATAGCAGGTGCCTCTCGCGACAAAGGTTCAAGACATTTTTGCCCTTTAACCCAATTAAAATAGCATAGAAATATAAGGTCTTATGTGCTCTAAATGCAGAATATATTCACTCAGCATATATTAATGGCACTACAAAGGACAAAAATGAGGTGGTGTAAGTGAAACTTAAGACTCCAATCAGTTTATTAACATGAAATTTTTGTTGCCCTTCTCTACGTTACCTTCATAACCCAAACCTAACATCTCCCCTACTCCAGCAACAAAATAAGGCAAAGGTAAAAGTTTTCAAGTAACAAGACCAAAAACAGTAAGAAATTCTAAAATTAAATCTTATACAAAGTACAGACCACAGAAATGGGAAGCCTTGAACTTACCATAAGTCAATGAATTCATCAACAACTTCAGGGGAAGTTTCCTTGTAAAGTTCTATTATTATAGAGCCTTTAGAAGTATTTAAAACCTATAACAATACACAATAGAAAAGATTAAGCACGTTAATTTCATATAATAATTTCAATGAACTAACATTTTGAGTGTCTTGCATGAAAAAATAATTCTAAATGATTTGCAAAAGCAAAGAAGAAATGCAGCCTGGTGAAGAAAACTTACAGCATATCCAGGCAGCTCAGATTTTTTTGAGTCCACAAGAGTATTTTCAGCCTTCAGAAACAACAGGACAGTAGAAAAGTCAAAGCCAAAGCCAAAGTTATGGACAAATACAAAGACCCTTGGCCTTTATGGCACCTTATCTCCACAGGCAAAACACACACAGTTTATACATTGCACATATTGATGAAGAATGGATAAGAGACATGGCAAGGGTACTATGAGATGTCTAATAAAACAAATATAAGAGAAACAGAAAATCTTGAAAGCTCTGCAGAATGACTAATGAGTCGTAGGTTTTACCTTAGAGACTACCATTTGATTCTCTGATCGAAATCTTGACCTGAACGCAGGCAAGAAAATAAATTGTTAGGAACAGACGATGCTCTTCCCAAGCCCAAACTTATATAAGAAAACGAGGCATGTCCTGTCAAAAATCAATAATCATCATCATATACTATAGCAGACATCCCATAACCCATATATTACCAATGCTTATTCAACATACACACGCCTTGATAACGTTCATCAATCAACAAATCTGATGCAAAATGGAAGAACCAACGTGCATTCCCAGCAAGGGGAAAAACCCAGATGAAGCATACAATTTTAAAAAGTGACATTATAATCTCACAAAAGTTAGAGTTCCAGTTCCACCAATGATTTTTATGAAATGATGTTATTATATCGTGACGTAGTTGCAAATCTTTTCTCACTCTGAATTTGCCTTCATATGTAGAACAGAAAATATTTAACTAACCTGGGAAACCAATGTCCGTACGTCATAAACAGCAAAAACACTATCAAGACAAGAATTAAGCAGTAAAATGTAACAGTTGATGCACATATTCGGGAGGGCCCCTTCTTTCTCTTGCTTTGCTGTAGCAGAGCTTGAGGCTTGATCCTAGCCATTTTCAGTTCCAATCCCAATTAGCGGGATCAAAGTAAGGCCTAGGAAAGGAAGGGAGAAAAATCAAAGAAAATTATGACAGATATCATTACCATAAGTGAATAAAAAGAAAATTTCTTGCTACCAACTTAAATAAGAATAGTTTTGACAAAAAAAAAAATATATATATATATATATATATATATATATATAAGAATACCGAAAACAGCAATCGAACTCCGTGGTTTTGAAGTTTCAAAATCTAAACATGTTTGAAGAACTTTATCTCGTCCAGCAGCAAGAGTTTTCCTCCCAAAGCAACCATATAATCGGACACAAATTAAGATCGAACTAATCATGAAAATTCAGACAGTTGCATCTCCTAAATGAATCCTCTCGCATACTTACTTAAAAAATAAAACAAATATATGTTAAAATCATGATCCTCATACATGGACAATGAAAGTCAAGATCACAAACGAAACCTGCTTTTGGAAATCAAGAAGAAAAACTGAATTAAATAAAGGGGAAAGAAACACCAATAAGGAATTAAAAATCCGGTGATTGAGTTTGGAAGGACGACATTCAAAGAAGAATAAAAGTAAATTAAAAACAAACAAAACAAAACTTGCGAAAGCGTGAGTCTCTGGCGCAGAATAGAGAATGCACCTGAACTAGAACGGTCGGGCCCAGAGTAGGGTGGATCACAGAGAAACCAGCCAGATGATTAAACGGAGATGGCGGTTTGATTAGCAGCCACGATTGACGGATAAGCAAACCACATCAATCAACTGAGTGCTAATTTTCAACGAAGGAAGTTTCCAAGTGCAAGTGGTACAAGCGTTTCAGTTGGCAGCGAAGTGGTGAATAGAGATGAAAAGGTGAAGACTAAAAAAAAAAAAAAAAGCTATTTGTTAATTAAAAAAATTGTTAACTGTTCACCAAAAAAATTGTAAACCCACTTAACTGTTGATTATTTTTATTCTATTATTAATTTATTATTATCATCATCTGCACGCATCATGTTATATAAAAATTATAACTAGCGTTCTGTGCCAGAATATTTCCTCAATTTTTTTCCTCTCATTGGAGTAATTTAGTCATTCATATTCACTAAACCAACTGAAAAAAAAAAAAAAACATTATTGGATGGGTAAAAGGTTATATCATGAAGATATAAGGTTTTTCTTAATTATATTTTCAGATAGTTAATGGACAATACTCATCTGCCACGATGGAATGAATAATTAGAGGCAACAATTTGATCTGGTAAATTTATTTAAGCAAGAATGTTAATTAATGCTGGAAAGATGAAACTGCTTCAAAAACAAATCAGATAGACGCAGGTGCCATGGTGGATTTTACAAGGGGGAAAAAAAATATTTCATACAAAATGACATGATACAACATCTACTGAGAACATAGGTGTACCGTCATTAACATTTCACTTCATCGTTCTACATACATTCTACATAGAACCATGAATAGGAAAAAAATTGAAAACTCACCTAGCCCCTCCTCTCCTATGTTTCTTTCTTTATAACGGTTACATATACATGCATGCATGTATATCTAACTATCTATCTATCTAAGAGGTGGAAAATGCTATCCGAGTAAAGTGAAGAGAAAGATAGAGACAACAATGAAACCTATATTTATCTGTATCTCTTCTCTCTCGGACAAGCGATAATAACGTGTTGTGGAAGTAAGCAGGAGATGATCAGGCGTCATAACTACAATCAATGCTTTTGTTTGAAGAGGATTGAGCATATCCTTTGTTGGAGTATATGGTCGGTGATGACATTGATCCACCCTCAGTGCTATTGCTTCTGTATGAGATCCTTTCCATTTGCCTGCGCTTGGACCGGTCCTTAATTTCCTCCTCTTTCTCGTCCGCAAATGTCAGGAAAGTCCGGAGGTGCCAGGACATGGAGCTCCTGCCGGAAGACTCGAGTTCGTCAGAATAGTGTTTGGTGTATTGTCTCATCATCTGTATGAAATAGATGAGAAGAGCAAGCAAGCAAGCGAGTCCACACATCAGATAGAGACCCCAGAAGGCTTTGAGGTCAAGTCTGTCCACTTCAAGCTTTGCGCCTTGAGCTAAGCACGCACTATTCAAGAGCCATTTGTCATGGATTCTTTGAAGATCTCCATTCTCTGCCAGTTCCAGAATAGCTGTTGATAGGTCAACTGCTAAAGGAGAGTCTCTTGGAAATGCCTGAAGGGGTGGAACAGAGAACAAAAGGAATAAATGTACAAGTGAGTTGAAACAGAGAGATTTGAAGAGTATAAAAGGAACACAAAGCCTTTACTTTAACCATTTCTTTTAATCCCTAAATTTTTTCATTTTTCAATACAAAAATAACTTCTCAAACATCTCAGGAAATCTGAAATTAGTAATCAAATATTTATAATGGATACTATTTTTGTTATATTAAAATTTTAATGAATAAAATAAGTAATATATATCTATATAATTACTAATGATTCATCTACAACTCAACCACAATCTAGCCTTTAAATCATGAATCAGCACCTCTACCAATTCAATGATCTATCCATTAAAAAAACAAAACAAAGCATGGGACAGAGTTCGAAATCAAGCTTCTCCTTGAATCAAAGTGTCTTTGCGACTTGTAATATGATAGAGCTGCAGAACTAGAAAAGATTTATATATCATTTCCTAGGGCCTATAGCATAATCTATGGGAAGGGAAATGGTATAGGAAAGAGCAAATCCAATGGACTAAAGAATCATCTTCCAGTGGATAAGAGAATTACTCAAAGGCTCCTAGCCATAGGGGAAAAAGTGGTGTACAAATAGGGATTAGGTGCAGCTAGGAGTAGCTTAGTATATTGTAACCTTTTGGGTCTTGAAATCTTTCCCTCTGCCTAGAGAAAGGGGCCTGGAGTCTTTTGAATATTGAGAGTGTGAGGAGAGTTCTAGCCTTCAAATGCCAAGTTGGGGTGGAGGAAGATCATCTTTCTTCTTTCTTCACTATTTTATCCTTCAGTTTTAGCGTGTGCTAGTGAATGGTTTATGGTTTATGTTGTTGTTTATGGGTGTGCGAGGGAGATATGGTTACTTGATTCAAAATCTTCCTTGTACTCCAATTTCATCATTCAACGATAGTATTTTCAGGCCCCATTAGTACTGTATTTTTTGGTTTTTACTTGTTTAAAGCTCATTAGAATAGAGGGTTCCGTATGTCAGTTGTAATAATAGGAGCTACGTAAACTTGTATCTCATGAATGGATTGCCCTCTGATTCTATTGAGAATGAGTGCTATAGACAATATGAACTGCAGAACAAAGCAAGAACCAAAGAATAGTCGTCTTGAGAAGTATAACGGCAAGTTTTGAGTAAATAGCGCATCTTAAGAAGCAGAAAGGAACAAGAAAACCATTAGTGTAAGGATAGGTACTCACAAATCCCCAACCATCTCTGGAGAACTCGTGACCTACAATGGTAAAATCACACCGGCTTGAAAGGAAGAGTTCAACATAAGCACGCTCATCGACATATGCAGCAACACCACCATTTTTGGGACCACTTTTCAATGCTTTAGCAGTCTCATCTCCATTTTTCAGAGGAACTAGTCTTGATTCATGAATACCAACTTCCTCAACTAAGTAATCTCGACTGAAAGAACCCTGTGAGTAGCCAACAGGTTCTTTGCTGTTTACTAAACTTTCAATGCCTTTAATTGGGGAAGAAAGCTGTTGTACTGTAAGGATTGAGGTCAGACTTGCTGTGTAACTTGAATTAATTATAAGAACCACAAATAGCCATATAAGTAGCACGAAGCGACCAAGTGTGCTCACTGTATTTTCCCCTACATAGTAAATAGAAGAGTAACTTGTTAAATCAAAACAGTGGTGGCCAAAAAAAAAAAGTTATCAAACCAAACAGATATTGTCTAGAGCATGGCTGTTGCAAAGGACAAAGATCCAGCACTTACTGTGAGCAAAGAACATAGTTGAAAAGCTAAACCTGCCAAACACAACATAAATCGGAGTTAAAGATGTATCTTGTGCTTAACAGAATCAAAAGGTACAGTTTGCAACGTAATATTATTCTATGCATCAAAAAAATTTCAGATATGGTTTTTCAAGGATTGAGGGAGAAATAACTCATATTTCCTCACCACAAAATTGTCACAACTTGCTTTTTGGGAGGTCCTCGAAAATCATCATTCAGCCTATGCTCCAATATCCAAACAACAGCTCCCACCGCTAAGAAGAAGATTGCAGTGACACACCACATCATTGGTGTAAATGGCCTCAGGAAAGCCCACGCATTGGATTCTACCTTCTTAACAGGTGCTACTACTACTAGACCAGACTCGATATACGGCTGAGTAAAATCCACCATCCTTGTTCTTACTGTTGTAATTGTAATGTCACCTACTGCAGCATCAAAGACCTGTAAGGGAAGAGGAAAAGTAGTCAGTCTCACAGGAGAATCTTTCAAAAGGCTCAAACTCCACAGACAAGTATATTTGGATACTTACGCCAGCTGTGATCATACGAACAAGGTCAGTCTTATTAGGATTGCTCTGACCATCCCCAAATGGAATAAACTTATAGGGAACAGCATAGGGCAGTAAGTTCACTGCAGCAAGGAATACATCAATGCAGAATCCCTTGAACATGTCAGTGCCTTGTATTTGTGAGATAAACGCTCGGTAACTAACCCTTCTTGGTACTCCAATTCTTAGGTGCCTTCCATTGTTTGGAAAAACCCAACCACGAGGCTTCTGGGTTGTTTCTCCAGGCCAAATAACGGGGAGTAGCTTTTGATTCACACTGGAATGATTGGCTGGCTTTGAATAAAGTACTTCCGGAGGATCAACAGATAATCCAGAGTGATTAGACCAGTAACCGATCCTCCTTGCACCTGTTCCTATCACATTGATGATTTCATATGATGGATTCATAAGATTTCCATCAGATGCATACTTAATATGACCTGTTACTCCAGTCATTTTAACCCCATAAACATTGGTACGCAACAGATTTCCTTGATCGAAGATGTTCACCTCATCAAGATGCAAGTTGTCTCCACGTAGTTCAGATAGCTTCGGGTCATATGAGAACGTGATTCGGTTCCCTTGTTTGAAAAATGTATCAAGTGCATGAGCAAGCATATAAACAGTATCATATGCATAGAGGCCAAAAGTGTTCAATCCGAGTGGACCATCGGCAGTCATTCCACGAGTCAGATTTTTCCACCTAGAAAAGAAATTTCTCTTTAGCTCTGAATCAGATGTGTGCACACGCAGTGTAAGAACTCCTTGAATTTCATCTGTTTGATCTGAGGGGATGTGATTCTCAGAGTCCAGAATAGTAGTGAGAAAGTTAGTGGCTATCCAGACATAGCCAGATCCCATCATCCCAAGATATTTTGCCAAATTAAACACCTTGGGGCCCCAAACAGAAGTAGCGTGAAGAACTATAACCCGAGATTCAGCAAGAGCCACCTGAACAAGCACATCAGTAATCTCCTCCTTAGTTGCTTCAGAGCTTATCGGTGCTTTATATGAGATTTTACAACGTTTCTCTGCAAGCTTATCCCCTAAAGAACCAATTCCATTCCTCCCATGGTCATCATCAACATAAATTGCAATAACCTCTCTCCACCCATAGAAGTCTATAAGCTCAGCAATTGCAGTCATCTGATAAATATCGCTAGGAGCAGTTCTAACAAAGAATGGGAATTGAAGTGAAGAGAGTGTAGGGTCTGTAGCTGAAAATGATAGAAGCGGAACTTGGAGCTCGTTGGCAACATGAGCTATGACATGAGCTGTTACAGATGTCTGGGGACCAATTATAGCCACAGTGTGTCTTGCCATGAGCCGCAAGACTGTTACGCTTTGGTAATTTAGTTAAAGTACAAAGAACTATAATCCGCAAGAGTTGAAATAACTTCAAGTGAAAATATGAGCAAGAAGATGAGGATGTTGCAAAGGACCTACCTTCAGAAATGCTGAGAAAACCTCTGTATTTGGAGTCCTCTTGCATTGAGAGCCTCAGATCAGTTTTTCCGAGAATGGAAGGATCGGAATTTATATCTGCAACCGCTGCTTCAATAGCTATTTTTACAATTTTACCAACGGTGCTATTGAAAGAGAAGAGTCCTCCAATATTTACAAATTCGGGTATTGCTGAACTATTCACGCCAGCCCCAGACGAAGAAAGCCAATTAGAGAGGACCATTAACATCACAAGCCAAACCTTAATCATGGTTGGAAGTTGCACACCACCAAGACGATAAATTTCCGGCCTTCAAAGCAGAGGCAGCAGACATCTCAAGTTAGTAACTCAGAGGGACTTCACAGAAGAAGTTAAAGTGAATAACCAAAAAACTAACCTGAAAGTTCGGGTCAAATTCGGATCAAGTCCAGGCAGAGGAAAACCATGAACAGTGTGGAAATCTAGACAAAGAAGAAAATGGAAGAAATTTGAGAAACAATAAGTTAATAAATAAAGTAGAGTTAATGATTATGAGAGCATTATGAATAAATGCTATACACACCTGAAAATATTGGTGCACTTTTCTTCTTCTCGTGTGGTGCCAAAATCCAAAAGCTGCGATCCCGTTGGCATCTACAGCTTCGGGTTTGTAATGCCGCCCGCTCATGTATTGAAGACGATTAATTCTCACTGTACAGTGTAAACAAACACACGCAACAGTGTCAAACGATGGCCTCCTGATGGGGTATCACCGTGGGTTTGGACAAGACAATTAGAAGAGGGGCGCCATTGGATGCGATGAGATTAGCTTCCAATGACGTGGAATTTATATGGCAATAGTTAATAGAATCTGGCTCCACCCGCGAAGCCAGCCACCATCCGGGATGATGGGGTCTTCCAAAAATATTTTACTCTTTTTTCAAATATATAATTTTAACAATTTTTCTTTGCAATTTAATATTTTTGTTTTAAAAAATATAAAAAATATTTATATAATATTAAAAAATTTAGGACATACTTCCTCTGGACTTATATAAGAATTGATAGTCAAAACTAGAGTAAAAAATTATATATGAGAGAAAAAAATATTTTTTAAAGATGATGATTTGATAAGAATAAATTTTAAAAAAATTAACTTAACTACCATACTTTAGGTTTGGTAAATTGATTTTAAGTGACTTATATGTAAGATAAAAAAGAATATGGGTATAGTATAATTAAAAAATGATTTCAATTCTTCGTGTTTTCTTTTGCCAAAATTTTCAGTCATTTATGTTAAAAATGATAAATGATAACAAACAAAATAGCGACAAATAATCGTTTTTTTTTTTATGAAATACTGTGGTTTTTATTTTGTGGCTAACGAGTGGCGTTGAGCAAAGTCAATATAGTTCCAGAGTATACGAGAGGTGAAAGTAATAGTAATGCGGTTGTTGGACACATATTTGTCACGTGATTCATGATTAAAAGAGGAAAAATTTTAATTAAGGACCATAAATGAGGTTTAATTATTAGTGAATCTCAAAAAATAAATAAAACTTCACTTCAGTCCAAAAAAATTAAAGCATAAATATTTTCAACGGTGAAAAAAATCAAACCAATCTTAACTTATTATACAAAATTGTTAGTTATTAATTTTCTCACTTCATTTATTAATTTATTAATGTAAATTATAAATTATATGAATTTATATATTAATAATTATATAAAATTTGACGTCGATTGTTCAATTACAAATAATAATATCAGTTATTAAATTGTTAACTTTACTTATTAATTTACTAACATTAATTGTAAACTATTAACAGGTATTATAATTTACAACTGATATTAATAAATTAATAAATAAAATTATTAAATTAATAACAGATGTTACTGTTTGTCTGACAAACAAATATAATTTACAACTCATATTGATAAATTAATAAGTAAAGTAAGAAAATTAATAACTAATAATTTTGTATAACAAATGAAAGGTAATTTGATTTTTTTATTATTGAAAATATTTTCACTTTAATTTTTTTGGACTAAACTAACATTTCAAATTTTTTGAAATTAATTAATAATTAAATCTTAATTAAAATTCTACCATTTAAAAAAAAAGGGTGGGTATACTTTCCCTTTATGATTCATGTCTTCAGGATGGCCTGTTACTTCTGGAGGAGAAATTTTTAGAAAACTCCGCGCATCATCTAATCCATAGTTCGTGTGATAAAAACATATTGTTTAAATAGGATTAAATAAAAATTAATTTCAATATTAATAATAGTAAAAAAATTAAAAATTAAAAAAATATTTTATTATAAGTAAAAAATATTAAAAATAAAATAAAAATATATAAAATTTTATTTAATTGAATTGGTAATGACTCATGGATAACATATACCCATATAAGAATTTCTAGTCAGCAAAACAATTGTGGCTCTTCATGAAAATTTCATAAAATATTTTTGCTAATTTTACTTGGGCTTGGTATGCAATAACAAAATGTTATTTAAAAATTATTCTTGAAGTCCCCATAGTTGAAGTTAAGTCTCAATCCAGTCTTTGTACTTTAATTTTTTTATGCTATTAATGTGACTGATTTAATAAAATATTAATAAAGTATGCCTTTGGTATTTTAAATTTATAAAGATTTTATTTTAATTTTTAAATTTTAAAAAATATCTTTACAGTCTTCTAATTCTAACACATTATATATTAAAATTTTAAATATTGACAAAATATTTTTAAATTTCAATGTATTAAGTTTTATTTTTTTGATATAACAATAATTAGCATAAAAAATAATTATTTAAAACTAATGGTATTAGAATTAAAGGATTGAAAAAGGATCAAATTCAAATTTTATATAAAATTACAAACCTTAAAGTACACTTTAGAATAAAATATTTATCCAAAACCAATTTAACCATGATTTTCTTAGCAAAAAAAATTAACCTTGGTCTGATCATAGTACTAACTTTCGATCATTAAATTTTAAAGCAATATCTAAAATAATTTAATAACTGATCTGATTTTTATTTTTCAATAATTTTTATGGTTCTTCTATATATGAATCTTCTTCCCCTATGTACAAGCCATTTTCTAAAAAAATTTGATATTTCTTTTCATAAGTGTTTTGCGTTAGTTCTTTTTATCTACATCAACGAGATGATTCCTTTGTTATTGTGATACTTTTTCGTTGCTTTTAAATTTTTGTAATTGTGGCCTTTTTTTTTTTTTTTGCTCTTGCTTTTAGTTGCTCTTTCTTTTTCTAAGCCTGTTTGTGATCGTCTTATTTTGTTTAATAGAGATTGTCTTTTTATTGAAAAAAAACCATTACTTTTTTTAAATTTTATCATTTCTCAATTTTCTCTTAGTAGAATAAAAAGTTGTCAGTACGTGTGAAAGAAAAAAATATCTGTAAAAATGATATATTTAATAAGAATAAATTATGAATTTTTTTCCTTTTTTAAACATGCAACAGCAATAACTTAATTATATCCCCTTAATTTCATGAAGATGGTTATAAATAACTTATATATGCCACAGGAGAGATTACCTCATTCTCTCCGATTCTTATAACTTGACTAAAGTGAGTTATATTTCCTCTTTGAGAGTGACATCTTACCCTGCTTTACGAATCCATGATTCATGTGTTGGCATTGGCACCAAAATGTCATTCAATTATATAATTAAAAATAATTTCGTGATGTCCCATTTATTACTCGGACCGAAAAAAAAAAAAAAACTTCTCTTTGTTTGAATTATTGAGGTTTCAAGTAAAAAATCCAAAAAATATCGTAAATTAAAGTCAGGCATAAATATAATCTTTTAAAATACAATTTATATAAAGTATAAACATCTATTAATCGTGTTAAAATTTTGCAAACGATATATCATCATCTGCCTGGCATTTCTCGTCTGATCAGGGTGACAGGAGCACATGACTTTAGCGACGCCGAGTCACCGACAATAATTATTTGTTTATAAATCATTAAAAATATAATATAATTTCTTTGCTGACAAGTGTTTTTGTCAAAAAAATATTTACAAGAATTTATTTTCGATGGAGCTTCATAGGATTAGAATATCAATCATCAATCAATACCTTAATCAAATTGTGTGAGAGACTCCCTGCCATCCCAACTCTGAGTACTTTATAGATTATGTAACCACTAATAAAACTAAAAGTGATAATTTTGAAATAAAATTACCATTTTTTGTAAATAATTAATAAAAAATAAATCCCAAAATGTAAAATATTTACTATTATAATGCACACGTTTGACTATTTTTATTAGACGTAACATAATTAAATACTCCAAACATAACCTATATTTATAATAGAATAAAATCAGATTAACACTTGAAACATGACCCGTATTTATAATTAGGTACTCCAAATATATAGATATATATATATATATATATATATATATATCAGATTAACACTTGAAACTGAAGAATAAAATAAAATCTGTGTTTATATATTCAAAAGCAAAATAAGAATATCCGTAACATAATAAGCAAGGACGGACCTAGGGGGAAAAAAGTGTACCCGGGGTGGAAATCAGTCAAATCACTACTGTTCCTAATTATTAAAAATACTAGTTTAAATAGTTATTAAATAAGTATGGTACTAGAAGGTATTATAATTTTAAAATAACAACAAAATACTACCACCAAAACGAACGTAAGAAATTGATATTGTTAGGCATATATTATGATTATGGTTTTTTCCAATATTATTTAAGATTATATTCACTAGTTCTTCATTAAAAAAAATTATTCTATGATCTTCAATTATTTATATATGTAGATGTATATAAATGAGGGGCTCCCCCTTGTCTCGTGATGCTCTGTTAGGGTTTCGACCCTTCCCTCATTTCCAGAGGGTTCTCTACTCAGTGGGGTATGTCGTTGGTAGCATCTCTTTCTCAGCTTAGGCCAACCGTGTGGGTCGGGTGGTTTTGGCTTGGGGCTATGGTGATTGTAGGTTTTAGGGTGTGTGTGTAAGGGATTTCGAAGAATGGTAAAGCTAATTTGGAGATAGCAACAATTAGCAAGGTGGAGGAGGCTTCTTGCATTTGGTTTTCTGATCTTGATAACTTTAATGTTGCAGAGGATTTACATTGGCTGCCTCCCTATTCAATGTTCTCATGTTGACAGACAAAAGGGATTTGGTGTGTTCAGGTGAATCCACGATGGTTGAATTTATGAGCTCGAGTGCATCAGTGATGGTGAATCCAATCTCCTTAGTCAAGGTGGTTCATAATAAGTTTAGCAACTCTGTGATAGAGGTCCAATCATGGAATCGTCCTTTTTAGGGCCATCAACTTTCAGAGAAGATATAAAGGTTGAAAGATAAGTTTAATCTAGTCTTTGGTTCTTATTTATGGTATAATGTCTCTATGCCTATTTTCTTGATGTTTTCTGTGGCTTATGGTTGATATTTTCTCGTTGTTGTGGCTAAGCATTCATGGTTGATATGGGTCCTTATCTCTGAATCAATGAATATAGTGGTTCTGGGTGTGTTAAATGTTTATGTTTAGTTGAACTATTATATAACTCAAAGCTTTTGCTTGCTGTGCTTGAGATTAATTGTATGTGCAAATGCTTGGAATGGATTTATCTTGGTTTAGTAGGTCACTTGTGTTTGCAATGTAGTGAATCTCTTTTTGAGGATTTCTTCTTTCATTGTAACTTTTGCAAGATTATCTAAAGCCACTTATTGACCAAAATGGAGAGTGGTTCAAAGTCTTCTAATGAAATTAAAGCACTTATTGCTTTTACTCTTTGGCAATTTTGGAAGGCCAAGTGTATGTTTGTCTTTGAGAATAAACTCATTGAACTAAGAGAATTATCCAACTGGCCAACTTTTGTATGAATGTGTTTTAGGCTACTAATAACTAGTGCAATTCTAATATGAGAGCCACTTGTATGGATGACAGGGCTCAAGATGCTGCAAATGCTTGTGACCATGATGTTTTGGAGGTTCTAGGAAACTGTAATTTTGCATTCTTTGCTTTTTGTTTTGTTTTGCTTTCTCAAAATAAAGATGGTTTGGGTTTTATCGTTTGAAAGGCTTATGGACATTGTACGCATATTTCTACCAAGTCTACTTATGTTGTCTTACCTTTCTACAATGAAGCTAAAGCTATTTTTCAGTGTGTTCACTGGTAAGTTTCTTCTGGTATTACTCAAGTGTTTTTCTTTTATCTAACTATCTCCTCTTGGTTAAAGCTATGCAAAATCATTCATCTTGCCTTAAATGGGAAGGCTTTACCTTAGCAAATAATATTTTGAATCATCAGCAAACACTAAGCTCTTATGGCTTTTAATAGATCCCAACAAATTTGAACTGTACTACAGAGTGGGTCTCTCATGCAATAGGGAAGGAGGTGTGCTCTTTAGATTGGGCTACTCAACCCCTACCTCCATTGGCTCTTCCCTTGGATCGAGACTTTTTAAAGTCTAGGATGTTTTTGTTTCTTAACACTCATGCTTTTTGCTGCTTGCTTATACTGATCGTTCTGTTCTTTTAATGATAAGTATTTCTATTCCTAGCCAAAAAAAAGTATATGTATACATTCATGTATACTAGTATTTTACACTAGTTGCTTATTTGAAACATACGTGACATGACATAACAAAATTGCTTAAAGATCCTCCATTCATCAATTCAACTTTGTCATTGTGCACAGTTAAATTGGTAAATGGGATCTTTGAGCAATTTTCCCTTAATTTTAAGTAGACCACTAAGATCACATTCTTTTGTTAGCATTTAGCATTGTGAAGAATCATTTTCATAATGAACACTGCACATGTTGGAGTCATCCATTGACCCATCTTCATGTGCCACCTTTCCACTCCTCTTTGGCTTGGCACCATTCTTTCCTTCATCTTCCTTTTCATTGACAAAGGAAATAAATGATCGGATTCGAGCTGAGTGTGACAAGCTAGCAATGAGGTTGCCATCAGAGTGGCGGCTGAAACGATAGGCCATGCGAATGACATAACAAAGGAGAGCAATGAAACAAGCAATGCCACAGAGAAGGAATAGACCCCAGAAACTCTTGAGCTCTAATCTGTCTATGCCTTGCTTTGCACCTTCAGAACTACATGCACTTCTTGAAAGCCATTTGTCATGTATTCTTTGAAGACCACCATTCTCTGATAGCTTCAAGATTGCTGTTGACATGTCTATTGCTAAAGGAGAGTCTCTTGGAAAAGCCTACATCATAATAACGTGCACAATGCATGACTTATGTACTCAATTCCTTAAAGTTTTGGGTCAATATAATAGGTAATCGTAAAGAAAGCAAAGAAGAAAAGGCACTTACGAAACCCCAACCCATTTTGGTGAACTCTTGGCCGACGATTCCAAATTCACACCTGGTTGCAAGAAAGAGCTCCATGTAAGCACGTTCATCGATGATTGCTGCAACACCACCATTGGTAGGTCCATCCTTTAAGGCTTTCTCATATTCTGATGGAGAATTGAGAGGCACGAGCCTAGATTTCATTATGTTAAGCTCATCAGTAAGGTAGTTCTCTGTAAATGAACCTCGCAGATAGCCAATGAGCTCTTTGCTAGTTACTAAGCTTTCAATTCCTTTCACAGGGGAAGAAAGTTGTTCCACTGTGAGAATGGAGGTCAGGCTTGCTATGTAGCTTGAGTTTAGTATCAAGACTACGAAAAGCCATATTATCAGTACTAAGCGACCAAGGGTACTCAGAGTTCTTTCTCCTACAAATAGTCAACATGGTATACGAAAGTTTAATGATAGCAACTAAATAAATATTTTGAGTTTCTTTAAAAGCATATACTCTCTCCGTTTAAAAATATAAAGTATTTTTAATTGAATTTCATGCCTTAATAAAGTAAATACTTACTTTCAAACTAAGTCTATCTTTTTTTATTTACCCCTATTAAATATCTTACAATAAATATAAAGTTATTTATTAATAGGGGTACTTTTAAAAAAAGATAATAATTATACCTCAAAAGACTAAAAATACTTTATATTTTTTAACATCTAATTCCTCAAAAAATGCCTTACATGTTTGAACGCATTAAGTAATGTTTTTTTCTATTTTTAAAACTATCCTCTATTAGTGAAATAACATATTGGCTAATGACAAGGGATCATCTATACAAATTTAAAAAAATTAAAATGAAACTGCAGTCTATCACTTACTATGTGCAAAAAATAGGGTTGAAAAACTAAACCTGCAAAAAGATATTCCGCATGTTAGCAACAAAATATACAATTTATTATGGGATGTGCATGTAAAGCATATGGTTTATACACTATAATTTAGCATTTTGTGAACCAAAAATAAAGCTTCAACGATTTATTCTTTCCTTACCATATAATAGTCACAAATTGTCTTCTAGCAGGACCTCTAAAATCATCATTTACTCGTCGTTCTAAAATCCACACAACAGCTCCCACAACAAAGAAAGACATTCCAGTCACAAACCACATCATTGGAGTAAATGGTCTAAGGAAAGCCCAAGCATTGGAGTATGACTTTTTGATCGGAGCCACGACAACAAGCCCAGACTCAATATATGGTTGTGTGAAATCCACTATCTTTGTTCTGTTTGTGGTAATGGTAATGTCACCTACCACAGCATCAAACTCCTACATATATAAAGGCAAAGTCTCAAAATATAGCAAAACTGATAAAAACACATGAAGATAATGAGAAAGCAAAGAGATTCAACACAATCCATGGATTTTCAGTCCAATTTAGTTAAAAAAAATATTGGTAATTTGTTTAGATTAGATAACTATCATTGCACTACATCATTTGTTACGCTAAGTAGCACAAAAAAAAATTAAAACTTTCATTCAATGTTGTTATGCAATGACAATCATCAAATCAAAAGAAACAAATGAAATTTCTTTTACTAGATTGGACAAGATATCATATATTTATATGAAAACTAAATCCCATATATATTTTATACTTACACTGGTTGTGATTTTGTGTAGCAGTTCTGTATTTAATGGATTAGTTTTACCATCTCCAAATGGGACAAAATTGTATGGAACTGGATAAGGCAATAAGTCCAATGCAGCTGTGAACACATCTACACAATAACCTCCAAACATTATGGATCCTTCAATTCTTGACACAAATTCATTGTAACTAATTCTGAGAGGCACTCCAATTCTTAACCGCCTTCCATCATTGGCAAAAACCCAACCACGAGGTGTTACAGTTGTTTGGCCAGGCCATATCACACCATACAACCCTTTGCTTGAGTTTGAATGACTAGATGCTTGTCTAGTATGTAAACTAGAGGAATTAGACCAAAAGCCAATCCTCCTAACCCCAGTACCAATCACATTAATGATCTCAAATGCAGGATTCATAAGCTCACCATCTGGACTAAACATCATTTGACCTGTTAAACCAGTTCTATTGACCTTCATAGTTTCGTTCAGCAATAAACTACCATTAGCAAAGACCCCTATTGAATTTAGGTCCAACCTATCCCCTTTTAGTCTATTCAAACTTGAATCATTTGAAAATGATAAATTTCCTCCATTATTGAAAAATGAATTAAGTGCAGATGCAAGGACCCAAACAGTATCGTAGGCATATAGGCCATAAGTGTTCCACATGAAAGGACTTTGATTAGGAGCTTTCTCCTTTATTAAATTACTCCACCTAGAAGTGAAATTTTTTTTCATTTTAGAATCAGGTGTATACATTCTCAAGGTAATAACACCTTGGAGGTCATTCATGCATGAAGATGACTCATATGGATAAGTATCTAGTATTGTGGAAAGCCAATCAGTGGCCAACCAGACATACCCACTTTCCATCATGCTTAGTGTCTTAGCCACATGAAGTACGTCTAGGCCAAAACTAGGGTATATGTGAAGGACTATAACCCTGGACTCCCTTATAATGACCTTAGTTAATACACTATTTATCTCTTCGTTATTTATGTTACTAGGCCTAAGAGGGGCTTTATATGAGATCTTACAGCGTTTCTTAGCTAGCTTATCCTCTAATGCAGCTATCCCATTTCTTCCATGATCATCATCGATATAGATTGCTATCACATCTCTCCACTGATAGTAGTCAACAATATCTGCCACAGCAGCCATCTGAAATTGATCACTCTCTATTGTCCTAATAAAATATGGGAATTGAAGAGAATTCAAGGTAGGGTCTGTTGCTGCAAATGATAGTAAGGGTACTTGCAGCTCATTGGCTATGTGTGAAATCACATGAGCCATCACAGAGTACTGAGGGCCAATTATGGCCACTGTGTCTTTCTCCATCAATAGTAATGCTGTCGAAACAAACAAACCGACATAATCATTAGGAATTCGAACCCATTTTAGCAATTGAAATGTCTGATGAAAGAGAAAGAGAGATGGTGAAATTCAGTAACTTTGATATTTTATATTCATGCATGCAATTGCATAACATATCTAAGGAGTTGGTTGTTAATAAAGTACAATGATATAGTGCGATCTATGTAACTGACTCCACCTTATTAGACAAGATTTGTTGTTGTTGTTTTTTATATTCATGCACATATACGTTTAAAAAATGCAATTGTGGTTGGGATTCGTATCTTGTTCTTACATTTATCATATCATTTATCTTAATCTCTTTGTGCATTATATACATTGATAGACGTGAATAGAAAGACTTCACCAAAAGAAGAAGAAATGAATATAAAGAATCCAAATTTAAAATTAACCTTGGTAGCTAGATCTTTCCATTCTGTTTCTCTCTTTTGACTGGATCCTCCAAAGTTTCAGTGTGATGCAAAAGGACAAAAAATTAAAGAGAACATGCATAGTTTGAGAAGGACTCACAATCAATGATGCCGAGAAAACCAGTGGATAATTCAGTGTCTTGGAATGAAATATTGAGCTTAGTTCCATTAAGAACTGATTGATTGGAATTTATATCATCCTTTGCCGCATCAATTGCAACTTTTGCAACTTTGCCAACGGTTGAATTGAAAGATAAAATTGCCCCAATGTTGACAGAACTGGGTCTTGCAGGAAACCCGTTTGAACAAATGTCGCGGTAGAAAATTACAAGCACAAGAAGCCATATTTTCTGCATGTTGTGCTGTTTGGAAAACACACAAACAAATCAAACTTGCAACACATGCCACTATTAAATTGAAGAACAATGAATCTTGAAAGAAAAGAACAGACAAGTATTCTGATGAGATATAGACACTAAACACATCAACTTTTGCATGGCGGATGTATGTATGAGTGTTGTATAGCAACTAGCAACATAAAAGCAAAATGAAAAAAGAAAAGCAACATTTTCTTTTATGAGAGAAAAAGGAAAACAGAATAAGCCAAAATATTAACTTGCTTTTTTGCCCCCTTTAAAGGTGGTGGTGAAAGCTCTGAGCCAAGAGACAGATGAATTCCAAAAGCTTGTTCCTTCCTAAGGCTTTAAGGCTGATTGTTGTTTATGAGAATGTCACAATGAAGCGGCATGAAACCCTTTATATAGGAAGTGGCCAAGCTGAGGTCATGAGCTATGACCTGTGTTGTGCGCCAATCATGATGCTTTTCTAAGTCACTCCATCATTTGAAATTATATATATATTTATGCCAAAATATCTTAAATTAAAACAGTTATTAATTGGGTTTGCATAAGTTCCAGGGCATCACTTTTTATTTAATATTAATTGGAGATATTGATTTTGCCTGGCATTATGAAATGATATTGTTTTTTATTAGCGGAACCGAGAATATCCTCAACCGATAATAGAGAAACTAATCGCCCAGAGGTACTATAGACATATATGGGAAAAAAAAATTGAACACTATTTAAATGCATCACATTTTTTTTTTGGGTATATAAAGCCGTTTATATAATATGTTAGATGATGCAAAAACCAAGAATCTCTCTCAGTACAAAAGACAATGACAAAAAAATTATAAGATTATTTCAAAGCATCACTTTTCTTTGTGGTTGATAAAACCATCGTTGCGTTATTTTTTTTAGTTCAAAATCAAAAAAACTGTCCAAAAATAAAAAAATCAGGTAATGTAAAAAAGTGTAAGGTTTCTGCATCCAGGTATGGGTCATCGAAAATCATAATATTGAAATTGCGCTTAATATTTGATGAGTAAGCAAATCGGTATATTTATTTATTTCTTTGAATATACGGTCCAATGTGATCGGCTCATTTATTTGTTCATGTTACTCGAGGTAAACTCTTGCAGTCACAGTGGAGGAAGGAGCCTCTTTGAAAAGAAGGGCAATCAGAGTAAATATGCTTTAACTTCAAATTTTATTGAAATCTCTTCCTCCCTTAGAACTTAAAATAGAATTTTTCTAATTTAAAAGACATAATTGAAAGCAAGCTCCAAGCGAGACTCCCAATTTTGTGTCATATGATAACTTTGACGTGCATTGAAATTATAACAACCATCTCATTTCAAATGTATGATTTTTGTCCAAATAACCTTCCAGTTAGTCACTGGCCAAAATAAAAAAAGAAAACTGCATCGTCATCATTCCCTTTTAAGTTATGCTAATAAAAGGGTGCTGTGGTTGTTAATTTGCTGCATACAGACAATTCCCTATTTTTTTAAAAAAATATGACTCTAAATTTTTGTTGTGTGTACAATTTTTTAACTTTGATTCATAGAGAAAAAAATATTGGGAGATTGGCAATGAGTCCCTATAGGAAGGCACAAAAAAAAAAAAACAGTGAGAACCTGAATAAAGTTGGGAAAACATGTGGAGCCTGTAGGTTAGTCCATTTAACCCACAAAATTTGACGAGTTGGGTCGAATAAATTGACCCATTTTTTAAAACAGGCTGCGCTAGTCCAACTGCAAAACTAGCGGGCTAAAATGAGTGAGCCTGAGGGCTAATATATTTTTTAAACAATATTTTTTTATTTTTAATCACATTATATCTTTTTATAAATCTACAATAATAAAAATATTTCTTAAATATATAATTTATGACTCCTAAATGTGTTCTTTACATTTAAAATCTAGTGTAAATATTTTTTATAATTTATAAATAAAATTTTTGTTATAGTTTGTAAATCGATGATTTACTAGTTTTTATAAAAATATTTTGAATATATATTATTAATTAATCTCATAAGATCTATTGATTGAAATTATAAATATAAATTCATTGAAAAAAATAATATGGGTTTATATTTAAATTTTCTTTCTCATTAAGAAAGATAACACATCTAGGCAATAATATAATCAATAGTAAAAATCTAATAAAATAAATTTGCTTGATTGAATTATATGTTTATTTTATTTATTTAAAAATTTTTTAATTATTAATTTGTTTTAAAATGTGAAATAAATATATATATATATATATATATTATATTATATAAATTTTAAATTGTTAAAAAAATTTGATAAATTTTTGCGGGTCAGCCTATGGGTTGGCTAGCCGGCTAGAAAATAGGTTGGGTTGAATTTTTAACCCATTTTATCTAGCAGGCTAGCCCAACCCAACTCACAAAAATGTCAACTTTTGTGGGCTTGCCCGTAAACCGTTTGCCCAATGTTAGCCCTAAATAATTAAAGGTTCACCCATACATAAGTCAATCGATAAATCTTTTATTGTGTATAAATGAACCTTCAATTATTCTGGGCTCTCACTGCTTTTTTTATTCTCTTCGAGGGCTCTTGCTGTCATTTTCCCTTAAATATTCTCTCCAATCTTATTTATAAAACCCATATTATTGGTTCTTAATACAAGGTTTTTTACAAAAATTATGTAATATCTATGATTTATTTACAAAAATACAACTTTGATCATCCTCCCATGGCGGGATAAAAGACTTGTTGCTTGTCACGTTTTAGTTTTCAAGCTGCTTTGGATAGATTCTGAAAATTTCAAATTTTTTTCTTGATTTAAGAGAAATAGTTAACGATTGCTTATAAAAATGATCAAAACATTATTAGAGAGTCGCGGTTGGGAAAAGATTACTTTTAAAATTTTAAATTTGAAGAGTCCAGTTAGAAATTCACTAGACTATCAATATAAATTAAATATGAAACCAAGAAATATTCTGCTTATTCTCCAAACTTCATGCAATGTAGCCCATACTTAGTAATTAGTTAATTTATATCTGGTAAAAAAAATAATTAATATACATATATATATGTATATAAAACCTAAAATTTACTTAATTTTATGATTTTTGTGCATGTGGTTTATACGGGAAATGGAGTCTCTCTACTTTCTTTTCCTCTATTTTCCTCCACTTCCTCCATCCTCACCATTCATTAATTTTTTCATTTAAAAAAATTATTTAATAAAAAAATTTGAATGGTGGAGATGGGGGAAATGGAGAGAAAGGGAGGAAAAAAAAGGAGAGACTCCTGATCCAGTGAATAATGTTAAATGATGAATCTTTTAATTTATTAATAATAAAAGGATGATATTTCCTAAGAATGTGCCGGAAATATTATATTTAAATAAAAAGTGCAGACAAATGGGGAAAGAATGATTTGGGGAAGAGAATCCAAAATAGCAATAATTCCGAAATAGACTCAAATAACCTAGTCGCGTATGCACTTTTTTTCCAAGACAACACAACTAGTTCTGGAACTCACCAATTAATGGATTCAAAGGTTTTTGTGGGATAACATAAATAACAAAATGTTGCATTTAAAAAAGCAACAATGTGTGCGCACGTTGAAGTGCAGTCCCCAATATTCTCTTGGAACTTTGTGCGTGCAGTTCTGCGAGCACTTGTTTAGTGCCCCTTTTGCTTTTCTTTTTTAAACTACCGAAGCATTGGCATTCATACATAATGGCTGATTGACCAGCCAATAGCACTTCGTCATTATTAATGGGGATAAGATATAGCAGAAAATATTTATAATATCTTACAATAGTAAATTAAGTTTACAACTCTTATTAAGAAATGTGCTTATAATGGATGATTAAAAAATCTCCAAAATCAGCAGCACGCGTGAAAGTCATTAAGACATACGGTTACACGTTTCCTTTTTTTTTTTATAATAAAAGGCGACGGAGATACCGTGCAGACGACAAGTCATATAATGTCAGTGTACAAAAAAATTTTACATAAAGTGTTAAAAATGTGAATATTAAAATTGTTGATAGAAGGTTACACGTTTCTTAGTTTCATCGCACCTTCAGTAGTTTGGAAGGCGAGAATTTGGTGAGAAAATTGCACGGAAAAAGGACAGAGTACGTGTTTTCACATATCCTTTCTAGTTATGCGCTTCACAATGCTGTGTGCCACATCTAATCTTATTTTATACACTGTCTCTATGATACAGCCTATATGCCTTCATTCTTAAGAACAAACACGGAAAAATCTACAATATTGCATTTGGTGGGAGAGACTATTCTTTTCTTATACAAAAATTCAAAGGTATAATATTTATTTTATATATCATTACCCAATGGTCAGTGTTGTAATTTTTATTTAAAAATTATTGGATATATTTTTTTTAATTTATTTAAAAATTTATTTTCTTAAATTTCTGTGGATAAGTATGTGAGAGCAGTAAAATGGTCGGGAATGAAAGCGATCCCCATTAACTAACAAGGGTGCCTTTTGGCCCCATTTTTCCATTTAATAATATGACTTTTAAAGCAGCTAATTTATGATTTATCACAGGTCGAATTAATACTAAATAAATTATTTTATAAGATTGATGGCTTGAGTTTACAATCAAGATCGAACCCATGATTTTTGCTTACATAAAATTTTCATTCATGTCACTAGATCACAGGAACATTAGCCTTGATATTAAATTCTTATCACAAACCTATTGTTAATTTTATAAGAATAACAACGTATTATGGAATATTAGCTAATTTAATATTTTCTACCATTTTAAACATACAAATGTTATAAGACAATTTTTAATGTTTTCATCCTATCGGCCCTTTTTTATTAGGTGAAAATAGTAATCAGACTTCCTGTTTTATTTATTTATTTATTTACCCCATATTTCTCTGTTATGTAACGCTTGTCAATATCGGTGATTTTTTGAAAACGTTACCCTCCACTTATATCACACTTTAATTTTTCGAAATATTTACTCCTTCTATTTAAAATATAAAGTATTTTTTGATGAGTTAAATATTAAAAAATATAATATATTTTAAATCTTTTAAAGTGTAATCATTGTTTTTTAAAAAAAATTTATTAATAATAACTTTATATTTATTATAGGATGTTTAATAGGAGTAGATATAAAAAGATAGAGTTAATTGAAAAGTAGGTAACTACTTTATTAAGAAGTGAGTTTTAATTAAAAATGTCTTATATTTTTTAATAGAGGGACTGGATCTTATCTACCGATTTAATGATACTTTATTTTATTAAATTATTAAAAAAAACTCTCTTTTGGCCCTCTCTTAAGGTTAAAGTAGCCAGTAAGATATGTCTATATTCTAATTTATTTAATTTTTACCAAAGG